CGGTCTATTCGGGATTAGCCATCTCCAAAGACTATGACAAAGGTGCGCAACTTTCATGGTTTGGCCACCTTTGATAAGAGATTCATCCAAAATTTTAGAAGCATTGTGGTCCCCATCACCAACTGTCTGAAGAAAAGGAAGTTTGAATGAACAAAAGAGGCTAAAAGAAGCTTTGCTAAAATCAAGGAGAGGTTATCTTTTGCACCTATACTAACTTTACTAGACTTTGACAAAGTCTTCGACCTAGAGTGTGATTCCAGTAGGGTTGGAATTGGTGGTGTTCTATCTCAGGAAGGTAAACCAATAGCCTACTTCAGTGAGAAATTAAACGATGCACGACAAAAGTGGTAAACATATGGACAGGAACTGTATGCAATTATTAGAGCTCTTAAAAATTGGGAGCACTATTTAATTTAGTGGGAGTTTGCGATCTATTCAGACCACCAATCACTAAAGTATCTTAGAAGTCAGCGACACCTCAACAAGATGCATGCTAGACAAACAAACGTTTTAAAACGATTTCACTATGTTATCAAGCATAAATCTAGAACTTCAAACTGAATAGCTGATGCGTTGAATAAATGCTCCACTCTACTCATCACTGTAAGTAATGAAGTTGTTGGGTTTGAGTGCTTAAAAGAGCTTTATGAAACTGATGAGGACTTTGGCAACATATGGGAGAAACATACCACCAGACAACCCATGGGTGATTTTCTTGTAGGTGATGGTTTTTTGTTCAAACAAGTTGTGTCTCCCTAAAACATCCTTATGTGACAAAGTGAATTACATGCTAGAGATTTGGGTGGCCATCTTGGAAGAAGCAAAACAATTAGTAGCGTTGAAGAAATGTATTATTGGCCTCAAATGAAGAAGGATGTAAGCAATTATGTGAGAAAATGTCCTGTTTGTCAATATGCAAAGGAGCAATCTCAAAACACAAGTCTTTATATGCCTCTGTCAGTGCCGTCAGAACCTTGGGAGGATTTATCTATGGACTTTGTGTTAGGACTCTCCATAACTTATAGAGGAGTAGACTTTGGATTCGTGGTAATCACTGATTTTCAATGATTGTGTATTTCATTCATTTCCGCAAGACTATTGATGCAATGCATGTGACAAAATTATTCTTCGAAGAGAATGCGTGCCTGCATAGAGTGCCTAAGCCCATCACATCAGATCGGGACAGTAAGTTTCTACCTCACTTTTGATTAACTTTATGGAAGCGGTTCAATACTGAACTTAATTTCAATAGCACGACACATCCTCAGATGGATGGACAGATTGAGGTAGTAAAAAGAACTCTAGGCAATTTGATTAGGAGCATCTGTGGTGACAATCCTAAACAATGGGACAATGCTTTGGCTCAAGCAGAATTTGCATTTAACAGCGTTGTTCATAGTTCAATAGGGAGATCTCCATTCTCCATTGTCTACACAAAGGAGCCCATGTTCTAGATCTAGCAAAATTGCCTAATGTTTTTGGCACAAGTGTTGCAGCTAAATCCATGGCTGAACATCACCAAGCTACTGTAGCAGAGGTGAAACAGAAGTTAGAAGAGTTCAACGCCAAGTATAAGGTAGTTGTTGACAGGCGACGACAAACAGAAGTATTTGATGTAGGAGACGAGGCAATGGTGTTCTTGCATAAGGAGCGGTTTCCTGTTGGTACTTACAACAAATTAAAGTTGAAGAAATATGGTCCCTACCAGATCTCAAGGAAAATCAATGACAATGCTTATGTTGTTGATCTTCCTAAGGACATGAATGTCCCAAAAACCTTCAATGTTGTTGATTTGTATGAATACTTTCCATCTAATGGTCCATCTTATCTGGAGATTAACTTAGGGACAAGTTTCTTTCAAGTGGAGGGGAATGATGTGGAACATCTTTCAAATAAATACATGGAGCAATTGGATAGGAAAAAAACTACCCAAAAAGGAATGAAAGGAGGAAAATACAATCCCACTGAAATGGTCATAACTTTGTTATTTGTTTCCTTTTTTAAGTTTCCTAGTCTTAGTAGAGTTCTTATTTGTTTGTTTCCTTTTAAATTAGTTAGTAATTGGTTTCCTAGTTTGAGTAAGTTTATAACTCAACGCTTATAAAAATTGAGACATTGTAGAATAGGCTAAACTTCTCTTAATGTCTTTTTGAGCAAGAGCCAAAGTAGCTCCTAATAGTACTGTTATTATACCTATCAAAGAAATAAGATTCATTATGTAAGGTATGACTGTGAAAAGAGGAAGAAGCCGGGCTACAAGAAAAATTCCCGCCGCTACCATAGTAGCAGCGTGTATAAGAGCCGACCCTAAGCCTTTGTTTATAGGCAATGAATTTCAACTACAATTTCTTCAAAGAGTTTATCTTATTTTCTGGTGTGTTACTAGAGTTTCAACCTAATAGATTCTAGGTCTTTTCTTATCAACATGTAGCTTGCACAATATCAAGCTCAACCACGATTTCCATCTTGTGTCACTGAATAACATTCATCACTATCAAAGATCTAAAGGTTGTATTGAATAAAATGTGTGGTGTTAGATCAATGTTGGAAGGGTGCTGGAACATTTTTGTTGGTAGGAGATCTGACCCAGGATACACTATATCTATTTAACGCACCTAAGTGAATTATGGATTTGGATTGGATTTGGGCTTGGATAACAAAGATAGTGAGCCAAAATAAAATGTTGCTTGGGGTACTTAATAATACGTACTTCTTTAATTGAGGTGGAAAAATGAATGAAAAAATTATACCAAAACAATTATTTGGGCAGGTAATTAATCATCTTGATTGTATTGATCATCTCCTAGAGGACCGTCTTTGTATCTTCTGAGACTTTTACGGTTGAATAAACTTTGGTTTAGGCCTCCAAAAAACGAAACATACCAAAATAAAAAAATTAAATTAAAATTGTTAGAGATGTGGTTGATACATCCAACTTGGCAACCATGCTTAACGAGAAAAAAAAATGAGGAAAGAACTTCCTTCATATCTTTGATCAAACCAACTGAGGAACTACATTCAAGCATCTACCTATCCTCAAAAGTCCATTGCTAGTTCTAGTTAATGGTTGTTTCTTCTTTTTGTATATTTATTGTACAAAGATTTCTTTTATTCTTGTTGATGTAACTTACACCACTAAACCCATTAGCCTTGGTTTAATTCTTCTCTCATTTTACTATTTTATGGTATTAGAGCCAATTTATCTCTATTTTCAACAAGGCAGTCCAATCCCTTGGCCATGATAGTCACTCTTTTTTCTGGGCAGGCTGTAGGCACCCTAAAACTTATAATAGTTGTCTTGCTTCAATTTGCAATTAGCAAATATTCACAATCTTATAAAAAATGGGTTAGATTATGATGCCATAAAACATTGATACTACAAAAACTTACAATAAATTTGTTGGATTTTAATCTTATTAGAGATTTAACCCCATGGGTATTTGATTGATTAATTACATCATAGATCATACCTATACATGCACTTTGGAAAATGGTTTTAAAGTTTTCATCAAAACTCTTTGTTTTGACTTGTTTTCTCTCATTTTAAGTCTTGCCCAAAATTATAAAAAAAAAAATAGGGCTTTTAAATAAAAGCTTGCTTAAAAGTCATGCCATCATTTTGTTTGTGCGTGTGTATGTACGGCATAATGCATGCGTGCACTCGCAAATAATGACTCGAAAAACTGCATCTGATTTAACCACATGGAAGGACACGTTAAAACTTTTAAGAGGCTAAACCATGACCGTTGATGTTCATCCAACGGTCACAATTTGATCAAGTGTGATCAAAAGACACCACTCAAATATTAACCATGATTGTTGATGTTCATCCAACGGCCACAACTTGACCAAGTGTGATCAAAAGACACCATTCAAATATTAACAATCAATTGTTAACAAACTATGAACAGTCATAGAGTTTGAATTTGTGACTGTACAAAAGCCTCTTCAAATGAACACACCCCGTGTACCAAAAATAAAAAAAACGGACAAGACCCTTCTTCACAATGACTCTAAAATCTATAAAAGGGTGTAAATCAAGCTCAAATTTGCTGCATAAATACTCATATCTCTCTCTATCTAATTTATTGTTGTCATTGCAATCTCTCACCCAAAATTCTATTGTATCTTGAGAATGAATTTACTAACAATTCATCAACAAACTTAGTGAAAATAAATAACATTCTAAAGACAATATCTTTAAATACACCTCAAAGCTTCTCTTCCCGTTTCTATAACTATTCTACCAACAAAATCAATCAACGTCATGAAAGTAGTAAGCAATCAAGTGAGTTTTCATCGAATTTCAGGGGGAGGGGTTGTGATTAGTGAAGGCCTTTTTTGTGTCATGTCTTTCGGGCATCATAGATTTTCACATAAAAAAAACCATGCCTTGTTTCGGCTACTACAAAGCAAATTTTAGTATATGGAAACCAGTTTAATAAAAGTTGCTTAGACTTAGTTTAGAAAGAGTACAAATACAAATTTGTAGAGTGCAAAACCTTATATTTTGCATTATTTTGTATGTATTTGTACCGTACATATTTGTATTACTCTTTCCAAACTAAGCCTTAATTTCTTTAAAATATAGTTGAACTCCTTCTCATTATTGTCCTACAAAAAAAATATTTTCCGCATCTTTTAAATTAACAACATAGAATGTTAATTAAGAGTTTTACCTCAAACTCATATGATATACTTCTCATTTCTCCATTCATGTATGAATGTTAATTAGGCCCCATTTGCTTTTTCGTAAGTTATTTACCTAGGTAAGTTTTTTTTGGAAAACACTTACCCAAGTAAGTGCATTTACCTATGTTCTTTTATTTACTCATGTAAATAAGACAATGACCATTTCAACCATAAAATTTCATTATTAAAAAGGGCAGTTTTGTCTCATTCAAGTGTTGGCAACTTTCCCATATTTACCCACTTAGGAGATGGGTATCACTTATTCAGCTGGTCTCCACATAAATTTGAAAAAAGAACATGGGATTCTTGGTCAATAGGAACCAAAATCCCATTGACCAACTTTCTCCCCTCTCAAAATCCTAAAAAAGAACACCCCCTTAAGTGTACTACCTCAAGCCCTACTATAATCTTATACAGGATCAATAATTAGAGGCACAACTTTCTTATCCATGTCCAGCCCTCTTCTTTTTCATCATCTTCTTCTTTTTCATCTTCTTTTTTCCTGGAATTTATAAGATATGTTTCACCCAGCTCCTTGATTATGGTTTTTGCACCTTCGACATATCTCTTAACGACTTCACCTGCAGGAATTATATCATTCACCAGTCCAACTCCTTGTCCAGCTAACATCACCATGTTCTCAAGCTCACCACATGTCGTCCGGTTCGCAACTTGTCCGGCAAATCGGCGTAAAACAACCTCCTGATTATCAACATTGAAGATAAACAAATAAGCTCAAACTTATCTACTAATTAATGCACAGTTCTCCTTCAAATTCTTGGTCCTGATTGATAAACCAGCCCACGATGAACAGACAACATTATGTTCTGTCTAAACTCATCTGCAGAAAGAAACTAACCTTTGAATATATGATGGAGTATCCGATGATGGGTTGATTCTCGTCATTCTGGACATCATCTGGCGCGTTCCTCCATTGCTGATGGAAGGGTGTGTTGAGGCAACGGACGTTAGCCCTCCATGTAAGCCGTCCGTATAAATCTGTAAGATCAGTTTCTTGTTCTGTGTAGTGGAGGAGCTGCTGCTTGTAGTACTTGTTTGCATAGGCTTCCTTTGTAGCTATGAACCTGCAGATCGATCGGTTCATTTTCAGTTTAAGATAGAAGACTATATGGTATCCCCGTGTATTGTATTGTAGCCTTGTAGGAGAAATGCAGCATTTTGCCTCAATTACAAATTTTTGGTCTACCAGAGTCCAGGCCCACTATACCCATCTGACGATTCTCCTCCAACTCCAACATATTTGCATGGTGGTATTTGCACGGGAGCGTTTCACAGGTGTTGTTTGACAAGTGGGCCTCCATTTGCAAGTGTTTCATTTCATTTGTTTTTATAAAAAACACAAAAAAAAAGAAAACCGGTGGGCATTTAATATTATGATATATTTACAATGATAATTATGTAGCATCTTAAAAAAGTTAGCTGCTTCAAATTTCAATGTCCCATGTCATCAAGGTGATTCAAGATCACGAGTTCGGTTTCAGTCACGGCAAATCCGGTTCGAGCACCCTTTACTGTCTTGCATTGAGAATATCTCCATACTTGTATGCTTTATTTTATGAGGAGATATTCCCAATGCAAGGGTGGAAATGGCTGTTAGAACGGTGTGGGCACAGCTTTGCCCTGATAGAAGCCGATCTCTAATCCAATGGCTTAAAATACTGTAAGCTAATTATAAGCCTTCTTTCATGTCTCAGTAAGTCATTTACCTGGATAAATACACTTATTCCGGCAAGTATTTCATAATGCTTAGCTTGAAAGTAATACAAATACAATATATAGAGTGCAAAACTTTACATTTTATATTATTTTATATGTATTTGTAATGTACATATTTGTATTTGTACTCTTTCCAAACTGAGTATAAGAAACATTTATCCGAATAAGTGCATTTACAGTATTTTTTTTATTCTACAAGTAAAATTGTACAATAATCATTTTATCTAAAAAGTGACATTATTGAAGAGATAATATTACCCATTATGTACTAGCAATTTTTTGTGTGATACCCCAGGAAAATATTATTTATCCAAATAAATAAGTCGCTTGGAAATTGTTTTTTTTCTTAGGATCCACTAATACTAGAATATGAATGCGGATTTATTTATTTTCCTTAAAACCTATCAACCCCTACTTTCCGAAAAACAAATAAAGCCTAAATAATATATATGGATGATCATGAGCTGACTGGGCTGGGCTGAATTTTCAGAGATATAAGAGAATTTTGATCTTCTCGGGTTCAGGCCCATCAGACTCAGGCTAGGAGTCTAGGACTTGAAGATGGAAGTATCCCGAGTCTGGGCTGCGCTGCCCTCGTAAGTCCATGAGCTGACTGTTGGACTACTCGTAAATCGTAACACCTTACCAAGGCAAAAAGCCCAAGGAATTTATGCTATAATGAAAAAGGATACCTTGTCCCAACACAGATGCCCTTGGCACCTAAAGCAAGGGCAGCAACATAACCACGAGCCTCACTGATGGATCCGGCTGCAACTACTGGAATACCTCGATCTCCAACAACATCCACAATCCTGGGTAGTAATGCCATCAAAGCAACCTGTACAGAAACATAGATAGTTTCAACTTGTTTGTTTGTGACTTTGTGGGAAACCTATCCTGACCGGTTTTCAGTCTGGTCCAGGTACGGGCTGGTCCTGGTCAAGGTACATCAAGGTCTCATTCGCTTTTTCATAAGTTATTTATTTGGGTAAATGTTTTTAAGGGTTTTTATTGGGGGGAGAGGGGGCTACTAGTAGATTAAGAGTGGGCTGCAATTTAGATTTCTGAGGGGGATTGCAGTCCAAAAATCCTATGCTTTTATTTGGATAAGGATATTTATTCATGTTATTATTTTTTAGATAAATAAAATAATGACTATTTTAGCCATAAAAATTTTATGATCAAAAGGGGCAATTTTGTTTCATCCAAGTATTGGTAACTTTTCCAAAATAAAAAAGTTAATTTACCCAGTGGGTAAGTAATATCCAAGAAAATAAACTTTCCCTGGTCCCCATATAAATCAGAAAAAAGAATATAGATTTCTTAGTCAATAGGATTCACATTGACCAACTTTCTCCCCATTCAAATCCCAAAAATGAATGCCCCAAATATAATATTCTAAGGGTATTTAGGTTTTATTGTGATGTAGAAAAAAAGTACATTCACAAAGTCCAGATTAATTGCACTTGATGGTCATGTTAGGACTTAGGAGGACAATGAGAAATGCCCCATGTCAACCCACATCACTCCAATTTCTCACTTTGCATTTATGACTGATGTATGGCATTATTATTGGCTGAACGGCCTCTAAATTGGGAACATCTCCCCATGAATAACAACACAAAAATAGGAGATTTTCCCAATGTGCCATTGGGACCTTTCGTGAGATTGGTGTGAGGGGGCACCCTATGAGGAACAGATCCAGACTCCCTTAACACATCTAAGTACAGATAATCTAGTTTCAAATCTATCCACCAAACACCTCCAATCAACACTAACACCATCTTTATAATTAACTGAACCAAGGCCAACTTGTGGTGGCCCCGATCTCCCCCAAGAAAATACTCTATATGCACAAAAGTTACATGTATGCTAAATTCATAAAGAAATGTTCCCAATATGCAGCTGGATGGCCATCCTTTCAGGAGTCTGGATTTGTTCCTCACAGAACACCACTCTTCACACCAATTCTCCTTTCAGAGTGTGTACAAAGCTTGATTAGTGTTTATTGGCAAGGTCGCAAATTAGTGACTTTCAGCTAAAGTTATTGTCTCATCCTCTTTTTAGATTATCCTGTTCAGCTAAGAAAACCCGGACCCAAAATGGGTAGTTTCTTGCCACCCACCTATTTTGGAGGGGAAGGCTCTATGTGGTATGACTGGTGGGTCTGATGTGCACTCTTCTGTGTCACGGGTTCATTCTTGCGGGTTCGGATGAGTTGAAGACAACATTTTACAACACGGGCCGGTAACAGGCACCCACCCATTTAGTGTTACAATCCGGTTTGTCAACACTAAACTCATTTTTTGGTCACAAATCTTTTTGAAGCGATCTGAAAAACGAAGAGTTGATGCCGGCATCGGCAGCCGATGATTGATTTCCACAAACTGACGACCAACATCTGACATCCAATATCAAACAAAAAGCAACACAGACGTATAAATCCAACTCGAGTTGTCAAATCTAACTGTTGTTTTAGAGAACAAAATCTGATTCAGCGAGCAAGCCATTACAGAGAACTAAAAATGAAAAATGATTGGAGAATAAAATGGGCAAGTCATTACAGAGAGACCTGAAAATTTAGGTCACTTGGCACCAGCTTCAATTCTTCATTTATTAGTGATGAGGGCGAATTTGACCCACCAATGATATTGTGATACTTGGTACATCCTGCCAAATAAATACAGCCTCTTGATAGCTAGACAGCTCGAGCTGATTCAGGCAGTTCGCCACTAGGTAGGTTGCCATCAGGCATCTCGCCACAGGCAGTTCACCACAGGCAACTCACCACAAGCAGCTCGCCACAGGTAATTTGCCACGGGCAGCTCACCACAGGCAGCTCACCCTCTTATAGCTTGGCAATTTAGACAACTCGACACTTCACAAGCAGCTCGCCATCATGCAGCACTCCACAGGCAGCTCGCCATCATGCAACCCTCACAGGCAGGTCACCACTAGGCAGCTCGCCATCTTGTAGCTTGGCACATCAGAACAACTAGGTGACACCTGGGACCACTTTGGCAACAACTTGCCTTTGCTAAGTTGGTGTCCCACAGACGCGACCGGGTGGCCTGGCCCTGGCGCGACCTAGCGGCCAGATCCAGGCACCAACCTGGCGACCTGACACAGGCGCCAACCTGACAACCTTGAGGAACACACCTCTGTAACCTACATTTTACAGGACTGTGACTTGTAACGACTATATTAGCTCACCCACTCCCCGGTTCTGACGAGAAGGTACAATTTTACTGTTTGATGGCATTTCATCCACCTAACACACAAGCCAGTCCCATCACAGCTGGGATCCAGGAACTACTCCACCTAACCCACGAGGACTCCAGTATATAAAAACCTCACCCCCCAGGGGCAAAGGTATGAAAGAAAAGAGGCGAAAAAAGGGATGGTAACCCGAACTCTCTAGCTCTCTCATTCTCTAAATATCATTCTCAACTCTCTACTGTGTGCTAACTTAGCCATCGGAGTGACCTCGCCGGGTAAATACCCCTGGGTTCTTTGACTCAACTCTCGCAGGTCCCTCAGCTCCCGCTACTTACAAAGACAAGCAGATCATCACTAGCCGGGAGTAGTCACTTCAGTTCCCGTCATTGCTGGTAGCCAGATCATCTCCTGCAGGGAGCGGCTGGGTTGCGCTATGCCAGGGAGCTCCACTTCAGCCCCTGAGTCATCGACCACATGGGAGCAGACGAGATGACGAGGTACTTAGCCAAAAAATGATGCGTGACCGGAATCCGTCACATCATTTGGCGCCGTCTATGGGAACACGCTACAAAAAGTTATAATCTCACAAAAAGCTAAGTCCGCACCATTTTACAAACTAAAGCTCCCGCTTTATAGTTTCCTTTTTTTTTATGAACTCAAAGACTGTGTAGGGAGCTAACAGACTAAGTAGCTCTAAGGCACCCCCTCGGCGGCCTAGTGCGGCCTGCACGCGACCAGGCACGGGCGCCGACATGGTGGCCTGACCCAGATGCAAACTTACAAACTGAAAATGCACCAGCCTCAGAAACAAGTAAGCAAGCTCTAGCTCTCAGACTGTGTAGGGAGCTAACAGACTAAGTAGCTCTAAGGCGCCCCCTCGGCGGCCTAGTGCGGCCTGGCGCGGCCTGCACGCGACCAGGCACGGGCGCCGACATGGTGGCCTGACCCAGATGCAAACTTACAAACTGAAAATGCACCAGCCTCAGAAACAAGTAAGCAAGCTCTAGCTCTCAGACTGTGTAGGGAGCTAACAGACTAAGTAGCTCTAAGGCGCCCCCTCGGCGGCCTAGTGCGGCCTGGCGCGGCCTGCACGCGACCAGGCACGGGCGCCGACATGGTGGCCTGACCCAGATGCAAACTTACAAACTGAAAATGCACCAGCCTCAGAAACAAGTAAGCAAGCTCTAGCTCTCAGATTGTGATTTCTAGCTCGTAGTCTACTATGAGAGTACTAACTTAGCCATCGGAGTGACCACACTGGGTTAGCCACCCCGGGTCCTCTGACATTTAGTTCCTTGCAGGTCTCTAAGGAACAACGAAGTTCAAGAGCGGACTATGGGTCCCTTCCAAAGCCTAAGGGCCACAAGAAGACCCAGTTGCCACTTCGGTGTGGGCGAACTTCAAGAGCGGACTATGGATCCCTCCCAAAGCCTAAGGGCCAATACTGCTGAAAGACCCAGTTGCCACTTCGGCGTGGGCAAACTTCAGGAGCGGAATACGGGTCTCTCCCAAAGCCTAAGGGTCAATACTACTGAAAGACCCAGTTGCCACTTCTGCGTGGGCGAACTTCAGGAGCGGACTACAGGTCCCTCCCAAAGCCTAAGGGTAACACTACTGCTGAAAGACTCAGTCACCTTTACAGCATGGGCAACACTACTGCTGAAAGACCCAGTCACCTCTGCGGCATGGGCAACACTACTGCTGAAAGACCCAGTCCCCTCTATGGCATGAGCAACACTACTGCTGAAAGACCCAGTCGCATCTACGGCATGGGCAACACTATTGCTGAAAGACCCAGTCACCTATAAAAATGGGCAACACTACTGCTGAAAGACCCAATCGCCTCTTTGGCATGGACAAAAGTTCAAGAGTGGACTACAAGTCACTCCCAAAGCCTAAAGGCCACAATGCTACACAAGACCCAGCCGCCTCATCAGCATGGGCAAAGTCAAAGAGAGTGGAATACAAGTCGCTCCCAGAATCTAAGGGCTAAAGTACTGAACTGGCAGAAACCTCGGCGCCTCACGGGCAGCTCACTTCCAAACAACTCCCAAAGCCTAAGAAACTGAATCAGCACCTACGAGCTCGTCGAATTACGGGCCAAAAGGACAAATCTACTCCCTTCACTGAGTTACTTTCAGCTCGAGAGTGGGGGGCAAATAATGAGGGCGGATTTGGCCCTCCAATGACATTGTGATACCTAGAACATCCTGCCAACTAAGTGTAGCCTCTTGACAACTAGACAGCTCAAGCTCGCCTCAGGCAGTTTGCCACTAGGCAGCTCGCCATCAGGCAGTTCGAGACAGATAGCTCGCAACAAGTAGCTCGCCACAAGCAGCTCTTCACAAGCAGCTCACCACAAGCAACTCACCCTCTTATAGCCTCGCAACTTAGACAACTCGGCACTTCACAGGCAGCTCGCCATCATGCAGCACTCCATAGGCAGCTCGCCATCATGCTGCCATCACAGGCAGCTCGACACCATGAAGCACTCACATGCAGCTCGCCACCATGCAACACGGGCAGCTCGCCACTAGGCAACTCGCCATCTTGTAGCCTGGCACCTCAGAACAACTACGTGACACCTAGGACCACTTTGGAAACAACTTGCCTTTGCTAAGTTGGTGTCCCACAGGCGCGCCTTGGCACAGGCGCGACCTGGTGGCCTGGCCCAGGCGCGACCTGGCCCTGGCACGAGCTGGCGGCTTGCCCCAGGAGCGACCTAGCAGCCTGATCCGGGCACCAACCTAGCTGCTTGACACAAGCGCCAACCTGACAACCTCGAGGAACACACCTCCGTACACCACATTTTACAGGACTGTGACTTGTAACGGCTATATTACACCCACTCCTCGATTCTGACGAGAAGGTACAGTTTTACCGTTTCATGGCATTTCATCCACCAAACACACAAGCTAGTCCCATCACAGCTGGAATCCAGGAACTGCTCCACCTAATCCACAAGGACTCCAGTATATAAAGACCTCACCCCCTAGGGGCAAAGGTATGAAAGAAAAGAGGTGAAAAAGGGATGGTAACCCCAACTCTCTATCTCTCTCATTCTCTAAATATCATTCTCAGCTCTCTACTGTGTGCTAACTTAGCCATCGGAATGACCTCATCGAGTAAACACCCCCGGGTTCTCTGACTCAACTCTCGCAGGTCCCTCAGCTCCCGCTGCCTACAAAGACGAGCAGATCATCACTAGCCGGGAGTAGCCAGTTCAGTTCCTATCGTTGCTGGTAGTCAGATCATCACTAGCCGGGAGTAGCCAGTTCAGTTCCCGTCGTTGCTGGTAGTCAGATCATCTCATGCAAGGAGCGGCTGGGTTGCGCTACGCCAGGGAGCTCCACTTTAGCCCCTGAGTCACCGACCACATGGGAGTAGACGAGATGACGAGGTACTTAGCCAACAAATGATACGTGACCGGAATCCGTCACTAGGCAGCTTGCCATCTTGTAGCTTGGCACCACAGAACAACTAGGTGACACCCGAGACCACTTTGGCAACAACTTGCCTTTGCTAAGTTGGTGTCCCACAGGCGTGCCCTAGCACAGGCGCGACCTGGTGGCCTGGCCCTAGTGCAACTTGGCCCTGGCTCGAGTTGGCAACTTGGCCCTGGCACGAGCTGGCGGCCTGGCCCAGGCGCGACCTGGGGGCCTGATCCAGGCACCGACCTGGCGGCCTGACACAGGCGCCAACCTGAAAACCTCGAGGAACACACCTCCGTACCCCGCATTTTACGGGACTGTGACTTGTAACGGCTATATTAGCTCACCCACTCCCCGGTTCTGACAAGAAGGGACAATTTTATCGCTTGATGGCATTTCATCCACCTTACACACAAGCCAGTCCCATCACAGCTGCGATCCAGGAACTGCTCCACCTAACCCACGAGGACTCCAGTATATAAAGACCTCACCCCCCAGGGGCAAAGTTATGAAAAAAAAGAGGCGAAAAAAGGGATGGTAACCCCAGCTCTCTACCTCTCTCATTCTCTAAATATCATGTTCAGTTCTCTACTGTGTGCTAACTTAGCCATTAGAGTGACCTCGTCGGGTAAACACCCCCGGGTTCTCTAACTCAGCTCTCGCAGGTCCCTCAGCTCCCGCTGCCTACAAAGATGAACAGATCCTCACTACCAGCCGGGAGTAGCCAGTTCAGTTCCCATCGTTGCTAGTAGTCAGATCATCTTTTGCAGGGAGCGGCTGGGTTGCGCTACACTAGGGAGCTCCACTTCAGCCCCTAAGTCACCGACCACATGGGAGCAAACGAGATGACGAGGTACTTAGCCAAAAAATTATACGTGACCGGAACCTGTCACATCAATTACATTTGGCTTCGTCAGTTGTTGGAAATCGATTATCGGTCACCGGCACCAATTTCAACTCTTCATTTTTCAAACATTAGCTGGATGCATACATGTGACACCTTACAACGTAGTTGAGTGACCAGCGTGGTAAAATGTTGTCTTCAGCTCATCGGGACCCATTTTTTCTAGCATTGATCACAACCATTCGACTATATTGCATTTCGGCTCTTCAAGGGTTAAATACTTAAAAATATACTCATTGGCATGATTCACATATATGAGGATAAAAAATGATGGATTTTAATCTCATTACAGATTAAATTTAATGGGTTTGATTGATCAATTACATGAGAAATTTTATCTGCACATTTATTTTAGGAAACATTTTTTCTCTTACTAAAACCAGTTTTGAACTTGTCCCTATTGGATATTTACAAATTTTGTTTTGGGTTTTTAATAGGAGCGGATTTATACTCCTTAGAAATAGAAGATGAGAGTATGGAGACTTGATACCACACAACATGTGTGCACGCACACATGTGCGGCGCAATGAGGCGCACTTGCTTGCACCCACGTGGCTCTCAAAGGGCGGCTTTGGTTTTGATGTGATGCTGACCGTTGATGTGATCAACGATCACAATTCGATCGGGTGTGATCAATAGACACAATTCAAAGTTAATTGTTAACTACCTTTTAAACAGTCACAATGTTTGAAATTGTGGCTGTTCAAGGTGTCTTGTCTGAACCAACACCTACATTTTCTTCATAACTCTTCAGAAACTATTTAAGGGGCAAGAATCAAACATCTCACACACAACATTTTCGAAAATCACTTTCTCTCTCTCCCTCTCAATCCGGTCTCCTACAATCTCACAGAAGGTTTATTTGGAGACTCTTCAACTTTGCTGGTTACAGATTCTCGCCCAAGGCTCTGTTGTATCATGGGAACGGATTTACTTATAATCCAACAGCAAAATCAGTGAAAATTAAATAGGGACAAATAACGTTCTAAAGGTAGTATCTTCAGACGCGTTTCAAAACTTCTCCTCCAAAATTTCAGTGACCCCATTTCCCAACAAAAAATGGGATGAAGCCATCTTCTGCAAACTAGGGGCTAAAGTGAAGGAATGAAGAGATGGAGCAAAAATTTGAAGGCAGAAAGATGACTTACCGATCCAACGACGTGGCCTCCGGCCTCTACCCCTTGGGCAACGATGCAGTCCACCCCTGCTGCAATCGCCCTCTCTGCTGCTTTCACCGATCCAACCTGACAGGTAATTAGCCACACCCAGCACCCAAAACATTAAATTATATTAATATTTCAAAACTCTCCTTCTCCTTCTTCTCCGACATTTAATTAATTAAAACCAATATCACCTTAAATTTAAGAAATTGGGAAAGAAATCTAAAGAAACACTTGCCTGGTGTATGACCTTGATACCGTGTTTATGAGCTTCATCAACCATCTCCTTGGGGAAGTCGCCCCAGTAAACTTCCAAACACGCCAACTTCTCATCGATAATTGCTCTGATGCTCTTGGCGTTATCGAATTCCAACAGAACTCCCGCTCCGAAGGGCTTATCGGTAAGCTTCTTCGTTTCTTGAATTGCTTTTACCGTCATCTCGTAATCGTTCTGTTTCAACAAACCCACAACAATTAGACACGTTCAGTACTTTTTTTATGGGAGATTCGGATTCCAAACACACTTACAGAAGAAGGAAAGCCAGAGAGAGAAATACATACAACAGGGCTGGCAAGAAGTCCGATGCCACCGGCATTGGCAACAGCAGCGACGAGCTCTGGCCCGGAGATGTCAGCGCCCATTGGTGCCAACATGACGCCATTGTCGAATCCAAGGATCCCTCCAAATTTCATCTTCTTTTCAAGCATTCACCGCTGGTGACCAGCTAGCACACCCAAATTCCCTAACCAACCTTCTTGTTTCTTTAATTTCTTCTGGTATTATGTATAAATAAATCACCATTACCCGTGTTCTGACTTAACCTGCAAAATTTGTGAGCAAGTGGTGATGCAATTGGCTCGGCCTCTTTGTCTCTTTGAGCATGGGTTGGTGAGAATAGTAACCACAAAAAAAAGCTGATAAACAAGTCCAGGCAGTGAGGGTCCACTCACTGAGTAGTGAGTACATACGCGGGACGTGGTCGTTTGCAAGAATTTCGTTGTCCAAAAGAATCATGAGCAGCACTACTCCTCTCTGGTCTTCAGTATTCACTTCATCTGGGTCTGGGTGGTGGGAGTGGTACTATCATATCATATGGTCATGGTCATGGTCTATAGTCTAACTTGTAGGAGTGGAGCTCCAGCCTCCAGAGACCAGAGTTGGCCATTCACGTCACGTGGGATGCAGAGAGATAGACCACGTGAGAATGGTTACGCTTTTGTGGCTTTGCCCACACGAATTTCGCCTTCTGAAATCATCCTAACAAAATTCCACTCTCCGATGATGACCAACGACGCACGCAATGCCTACCTCAACGAAATGGATAACATGAAATCAAAACCTCTGCACATACATTGGATTTCTCCACCTCGTACGAGAGGGTAATATTTATTCATAGAAAAGCAATAAAAATTTATGAGAGGTCAAATCATAAATTTATCTTTAACCAGGAAGGATATTCTTAACGTGCGGCTAGATGCCATGTGGGTAAGGTTTTTGATTTAAGAAAATCCGGGTTAAATGGTACACCAAGTTTGACCCTATCCGGGTTAGGGTCAATATATTTGATTTTAGGGTTAGGTTAGAGTTTTGATTTTTTAATCTAAGTCGGTTTGGATTGGGTTTGGATTGTGGCTGACCCGCCCCACCAGGTCATAGTACCCTATATATATTTAGTATTTTTACAACTTTTTGACTTTTAACTCTATATTATTAAAGTTCAAGATTTATTTATATGTTGATTTTAATTTTTTTTTCTTTTTTTAAATGGTAGATTCTATAAAACAATTTTCTAATTTAAGTTAATGGATTTTAACTCTTCAAATGTATTAAAAAAATACAATTGAAATGCTAAGTGTTATGTCAGGTCGGTAGCGGCCTAGTAGGTTATGCCCTATAGGGTTGGATCGAATTCAAAAGTTGTGTTTTTTAAGGCGGATAGGGGTTGGGTTTGGGTTGGGGCACTGTAGGATAAGTTAGGGTTGAGGCAAACCCGACCCGTTGACATCTCTAATGGTGGTGGATAAGAAAACCTATGGTAAAAGAATTTATGGTTAGACTATGATAGTAGAAAGATATGAAACAGTAAAAATTAGTAAGTTGTAAGTTGTAACCAATCAATTGGTTTCATAAAAGTGGTAACTAATCCGGTAGTTGTTTATCAAATTCACAAAGGTGTGTTTTATTGGAAATAGGGTGTCAATTGGAGTGGATTTGGTTCAATCCGATCCAGTCCAATGTGAGTCCATTATAAATGGATCATGACCAATCCAATCCAATGAATGTTTTAGACCAATTTGGATCGGTCCATTTCAATGTCTGGTGTTCAAATTCATTTTGATTTAGATTGGTTTTAACCCAAACCCGGTCCTTTGGCACATAAATTCTTATCTTATATTAATGGACCATATATTGGCTTAATCCAACCCAATCCAATATAAATTTGTTATGGACGGACCAGGTCCAATCCAATATAATAAATATTTTGGACCAAATTGGTTCAATCCAATATGTTTTGTTGGTCCATCCAAATTGATTTTGGACTGGATAGGGTCCAATCCAAAACCGGTCCATTGACACCATTAATTGGACAAAGCTCTCATGATACACTTGGAAGAAATCGACTTCAGTACTCACAACCCAAAAGTCCAAAATCGTACTTCCTTTCAACCTCATCGCAATCCAGAAGTCCAAAATCGCACTTTCTTAGAGCCTCATCGCAACCCATAGGTTCATCGCAACCCAAAGGTTCACCGCAACTCAACCCAACCTCATCACAACCCAAAAGTTCAACGCAACTCAACCCGACCTCATCGCAACCCATAGGTTCATCGCAATTCAACCCAACCTCATCGCAACCCATAGGTTCGTCGCAACTCAACCAAACCTCATCGCAACTTAGAGATTCATCGTAGCTCAATCCAACCTCATCGTAACCCAGGAACCCAAAATCATAACTTAGAACTTGTTCACCGCACCTCCTTCCGGCTCATCGCACCTAAATCGCACCCATATTACCCTTTCCACACCCTATTATCGCATCGCACCCCTATCGTAACGCACTAAGTATCTACGCAACCAGCCTTCGGTAGAGCAAAAAAATTGTATAGTTCCCGTCTGCCAGGTCCTGCTTATTTTTTTCCTTTGTTTTATTTTGGGTTTTTTTCCTTCCCTTCTTTTCCTTTGGTAGTCTCTCAAAATTTGTAGTTTTTTTATTCCTCTATAATTGAATATGATTAGCTTAGTTTTGGGTAGCAATAAACTGCATTTGCTCATTGTTCTACTCTTTTCTCCTCCTTGCTTTAGTTAAAGAATCATCAAGAGAACTTAGCTTCTATTAGATCTCAAATGTGGCCACCTAGAAACTTGTAGGATTGTTTTCAAACTTAAACAGGTGGTAGGTGGTTGCATTCTCCCTTTGTTTCTTTTATTTGCTTTACTATTCATTTTTCTTGCATGCTTAAATATTCACAGTTCACAGACTCTCATGAAAATAGAATTACAATCCCATTTTACCTATTAGGGGAAGGATAATAGGTATGTGCCTCTACACTTTGGTCCTCAAAGGCTCCACCAAAACCTCCAAACTATCCACCAACCAAAGAAGCCCATTTATCCATGGGTGGATGTTTGAAGGCTAGCAACATTGTTGGAACCTCAGAGTCTAAAACCCACATAACAACTTCGTGCATTGCACCTAGACTCCCCATATATAGAAGCCTCAGATGAAAATAGGATAGAAGGACCTTAGCATAATTAGGACTATGACGCTAAGAGTGTTGCACTATGTGGTTGTCATCCTTTGAAGTATGATCAAAATAAACCTTAAATCCCTTAAAGAAGAAAAAAAACTTAAACTAGAAAAAAAATCAAAGTACCATTTAAGGTATCAATGTTACGTCCAAAAACTCAATCAAATCTGAAGTCAAAATGAAAATCCATTAAGTTCTCCAAATCTAAAGTTCGCCTTTGAAATACTTAAAGAAGCCTATCTTGCCACTCAAGGCTAAGTAGATGCATGATTCAATGAGTACAACTCTTGAGAAGTAGCATCAAAAGGCCATTTTTATCACTTCTGTTATTCTTCATCCTATGTCCATTTCTTGGCTGAGTAGATGCACGGCTCTCTGAACTAAGCTCTTAAAAAGTAGCATTAAAAGACAATTTTTAACCCCTTTTATTATTTCCATCTCTTGGCTAAGTAGATGCATGACTTCATGAGCTTAACTCTAGAGAAGTAGCATCAAAAGGCGATTATGACATCTTTCATCATTTGTCTAGTGTCCACCCCTTTGGTAAATAAGATGCATTGAATCCAACTTTTGGGAAGTACATCAAAACACCACATTGACCAACTCTAAGAGTTTCAACTAGATATACATAGAAAGGATCTAACCCTCCCTTGACCAGTATCAAAGGATACTCCATTCCCTCAACTGAACATTAGGCCAAGTAGATGCTTATCCCTATGAGTAGCTCTTAAGAAATAACATCAAAAAGCCACTTCAACCTTTATTCCTTTAAAACTCCAAGATGTCAAGTAGGTACACATATGGTATAGGAATGGATATTCCCTTAGCCAGTATCGAAAAAAATTCTCATGATCCTTCAAATATTTGTCTTGCTCTTCTCCAAACTAAGTAAATGTTTGACCCAATGAGTTTGCTCTTAAGAAGCAACATTAAAAATATTATTGTTTCATAGGCACAGTGTAGGGACTTAATACCCTCGATGTTTCCTTAACATTTTCCAAAACCTAAAAATCTTTTCTAAAACCAACTATATTTTCTAAATTAGAAATCGATCCTAATTACAGCACTACTTGTCCAAGTCCCAAAATTAATAATAAAACGAAGAAAAGAATAAATGTACCAAATAGCGTCAAATCCCAATCTATATATCGGGTCAACAAAATCACGGTAAAGGAAAGGCCCATAAATTGAGGTGAAATAAAATTATCAAACCACAAGATTTTATTGTAAGGATTATCAAATAAAGTCTCTTTATCAAATCCTAACTCACATAATTTCAACTCAATTGCAAAAAATGAATACTTCACAAACTTGAGCAAATACCAAAGTTCATCAATGCTCTTTCCTCAAGCCCGAAAAGTTTTTTCAAAGTTTCTTTAAAACATTGCATTTGTTTTCCAACTTCAAGCTTAGTCTTAGTCTTTTACTTTCTAAATGCTTTTTAATTTTCAACAAAGGTCCACTAATTTAAGACATTCCCCTTGCACGACCTAGTCTAGTTAACCATAGATTCTTTCATTCTTTCACATCCTTGCTAGGTTCCCTTGACCCACTCCAAGGAAGCCTTCCTATCTAACCACCTATACTTCTAACCTTCTTAGGACTCAATAGCCACACCCACTATTGAATCAACACCTCTGGAATCCCATCAACCCTAGCACTTCACACAAGTTTATTAACTCAACCTCACCCATAGCATCATACACCCTCACAAGTCCGGTTTAGCCTTGACCCAATCATGCGTAGGATCCAATATCTAGTTAGCTAAGTCATAGTAGCATCAATAGCTCTAGGTGCATACTAGGGGTAGGTCAGTTTTGTCATTATTTTTTGTTGTTTTTGCCCACACTTCAAAATTTGCATGAGCATACCACATGTTATTGCATGTTGCATCCCTAGAACTAGTCCTTAACCCACACCAGTTTATTCCCATTCATTAGATGCCTACAACCTAGATTGGTACCTTTATAGAACCAACAACATAGGCCCTTTAGACAACCAACTTTAATACATCAAGACAAATCAAATCAAAAGTCCAAATCCCTCATAAACTAAAAAGAACCCTTTTAGGATCATATGGAACAAGCCTCTCATCAACCTTCCACCGAGTAAAATTTGTCAATTGTTCTCTACCAAGAAGAATTGGCTAGGATGAAGGAGGACATCAAGGACATACAAGCATCCTAGCCAGAAAAAATAATCAAGTCCTAACCTGAACCTTCTTAGGTTAAAATCCCAAAATTCCACAAGAACGATGGATCTAGTTAGCCTAGCTAAGGAACTAAAAGGATCCACTTTGGAT